CCACCACACAAGATCAGAGGCTCATTGAGGGCAATGAAAAGTCTCCCACACCGGTAATCTCCATAAAATTCAATGGCGGTCCATTGCTAATAGGAGGCCAGGAGACTTCAGCTCCTCCAAAGTGGAAGGTGCAGCCTACACACTAGCTCTCCTCGGCAGTAGTTACACCTCACTGCCCCCTCCCTCCAACAACCAGCAAGGAGGAAGTGAAAAGGAGGCCAGGAGACTTCAGCTCCTCCACCGTGGAAGGTGCAGCCTACACACCAACTCTCCTCAGAGGCAGCTGCACTTCATTGCCCTTCCCCATCCTCAGTCTACTGGCAGGTGATAGCCCACACCTGACTTATGACACTACAATGGAAAGAATCTATGTTCCTCTGGATTTTAACGAAACTGATCAGTAGCCTACTACCATCATCAGATAAGACTCTCCCTCCACCGCCCCAAGGACCTCATATCACATTTACCATCCCCCAAGAAGGCCCAGGACCTTTTTTTTACCCTCCCCATTTTGTATTCAATTCAATCTGTACCTAAATAACGTTGTGTCTGTTGGGATGTGGGGGAAGCAAAGAGTGTTTAAAAAGAAGGGCTGAAACGCTATGGAGAGAGAGAGTTAGGGAGTCGGGGGGGGGGGGGGGGGGGGGGGGGGGGGGGGGGAAGAGAAGAGAAGTGGTCTGTTAATTGCAGCAATAATATGTTTCATGCTTATGTCTATGTTTGATTTTTTATAGTTTTAACAGTTTTTATCTACAGTTATATGTTATTGAATTAGATATGTGATATTTTTATATATATGTGAGGCATTGAAGTTGCCATTTATTATGTTGTAAACTGCTTTGAGTCCCCCCAGGGGTGAGAAAAGCGGTATAGAAATATAGTTAATACTACTACTACTACTACTAATAATAATAATAATAATAATATAACTAGGAAAACAGCAGAAGAGGCCTTTGCCACTCCCATCTCAGTAATCAAAGTTGAGATATCTGTCCAGGTACTTCTAATTGTATTGGAATAGCACTAATCACTCTGCACTGAAATAATTTGAGCTCTGAAGAAAAGTAGGAGTTGGAGATGTTGCAACCCAGAGAAGGAAACTGGACCCTCAGACAACCATCCACCACACTTGACTTCAGGAAAACAATCCTTTTTTATTGATGAAAGATGAATACAAAATAGAGGAAAAATGCAAAGGTAAAAAGTCACAGTAAAAATCAGCAACAAGAAATGTCCATAAACAAGATCATAAAACCCACAGCAAAACTGCTGAATCCTGGAACCTGTTAGCAATCCACTAACCGTACTTGGAACAACTAGAAAACCTCAGAGGAACAAGGCCACTTGAATCAGGAGACCTGGAAAAGCTTGCACATGAATCTGGAACGATGCCTGGTCTGAAGCTGCATTCAGGCCAGGCATACTTAAGGCCGAGAAATCTATTGCGAGACATGCCTGAAGTTTTTGCATTTCTCTCAATCTGGCTGGCCTACGTAAACTTTGTGCTTCTCCCCGGCTCTGCCAAATCTGCCCCCGCCTATCCTCATTAGGCAGACCAGGTGTCAGATTCTCTGGAGAACTAAGGCTGGGAGGAAAAGGGAGTGAAACTTCTCCGCTCGGCTCGGAATGCATATTCTCATGGGAATTTTGACTTTCACTTTCCAAGGCTGTAGGATTTTCACTACTCAAACCATCATCATCTAAATTGGCCTCAGAATTCACATTGACAACTACATTGGCATCAGGGAATACAATCAGAGAATCAGGTTCAGGTTCAGGTTCACATAGGCTGAACCCCAACAGGAGATTCATGCTGAAAGTAGCTGGAAGTTGACCATAGAATTGCACTGGAGGACCTATACATGTCAAGAGAAGTGTTTTTTTTAAAATAATAAAAAATAGTGGACCTTTATTCATGGTTTTCTTACTTTCATGGGGGTCCGGTGTCCCTAATCCCTATGAAAGTGGAGGCCAAGCGTTTTATTTTTCCTATATGTAGAATTCCAAAGTCTTGCTCTTTTATCGTACTGTCTAATTCTCATTTGCAGTTGGGGAAAATCCCACATTCCCACAACTGCTGCCACTTCTGACTTTCCCTTTTCCTGTTGCTATGTAATGCTGTTAACAAGACATATGCTAGACTGTAGAAGCAAGCAAAGAATCAATTGGAGGTCAGTATGTCTATTTTCAAAGACAAAAGAAACCATGATGTTAGACTAAAATGTGCATGTTTTAATGTACAGTCCACAAATATATAGCATGAAGGGATACGGATTTTTTTAAAAAAATCCTCAGGCAAGAGGGATAGAAGTATTGTGTTTATGAGCTATTTAATTGGCTTTCACCCTTAGATGAGCGGTACAACAAAGTGACAACCAGAAAATTAAAATCACTGAGAATACTTTTGGTACAGTTTGTATTGATATGTTATTGTGAGCCTTCAAGTTATTACCAATTCAAGCAAACGTACTATGGAATTTTCAAGGGAGGAGGGAGTAAGCTTGTTTTCTGCTGTCCTGGAGACTAGGACATGGAACCATGGCTTCAAATTACAGGAAAGGAGATTCCACCTAGACATGAGGAAGAACTTCCTAACTGTGAGAGCTGTTCAGCAGTGGAACTCTTTGCCCCAGAGTGTGGTGGAGGGTCCTTCTTTGGAGGCTTTTAAACAGAGGCTGGATGGCCATCTGCAGGGGGTGCTTTGAATGCAATTTTCCTGCTTCTTGGCAGTGGGTTGGACTGAATGGCTCATGAGGTCTCTTCCAACTCTTTGATTCTATGATTCTAAGTGTCGGATAGGCAAACTGCCCATCCCACGATGTTGCTGGACTTCCGGCAGAGGCCTTGTACAGAACTTAAGTGGAAGTGTCGTATGACACTTCTCTCCCAACACAGGAACCAGTTTGTGTTGTGCTGGCTTCAATGGAGCCACCACGAATCCTCGCCTGTTGGTCCAACATTTTCCATGTGTGATGGAGTGAGCGTTGTTGCAAGGGAGTGAGTGGCATGCGCGGCTATGGATTCATCCTGCTGTCGCTCTGCACTTCACTACACGCTCTACGGACAATATTGTCTACGTACTCCAATATCCGTGTAAATTACTATATGTTGGGATGACCACCAGACCCCTGAAAATCAGAATTAGTGAACACCGCTCTTGCATAAGAAATTGGTCTACTGACTTTTCTTTATATGCACATTTTCAAGAGAAGGCACACACTTGCTATAGCTATAAATTTTGTGCTTTGGAGAAGGTATCACCTAAATCTCATGCTGATGTGAAAACGTACTTGTTACAGAGAGAATCATTTTGGATTTTCAAATTACAAACACTTATCCCCCAAGGGCTTAATGATAGAATAGATTATACTTGCTTCCTGTAACATTCTATCCTACTTAAGAGTCACCTGTTACCATCACAATTGCTCAATTCAGAACTCCTCACTCAGAGCCTAGGCTGTTTACAGGAATGTAAGTAGACTTACATGGGTTTTGAAAATCCCCTCAAACAGTGGGGTGTTTGGGCATTCTATTATACCATTTTGTTTATATATTGTCCTTTTCCTATCTAGTGAATCCAAAGATTATAAATGCTGATAGGAAATCAAAACAGAACCGATAGCTACCAATTAGAATGTAAGTAGTCAAGCGTGTACAACAACAACCTTTTCAAAACTATGTCAATTCGGGGATTGTGGTATATCTATTATCTGTATGTTGCTGTGTTTCTTATTTAGTGAATCAAAACATCATAACACCTGAAGAAGATATTGCGAAACAAGGGAAACAACCCGGGAGACCTTGTTGTGTGCCACTGTCACTGATGTTGTTTATGGAAGAAGATCTTTCGACAACATAGAAAGTGTTATTTTGTGTCACTGTGCCTGTTTAATTGTTATTTTGGAAGCTCTAGTTTCACTGTGTTGACAAAGTATTGATAAACTATCTTCTATTTATAAACAGTCTTTAATTAATCGTGTGAATGTTCTCATGTTACATTTAATGTAGAAATTCTTGGAACATAGAAATTGTGGGTTGTTGTAGGTTTTTCCGGGCTATATGGCCATGTTCTGGAGGCAATTTTTCTCCTGACGTTTCGCCTGCATCTATGGCAAGCATCCTCAGAGGTAGTGAGGTCTGAGGATGCTTGTCATAGATGCAGGCGAAACGTCAGGAGAAAAATTGCCTCCAGAATATGGCCATATAGCCCGGAAAAACCTACAACAACCCAGTGATTCTGGCCATGAAAGCCTTCGACAATATATAGAAATTGTGATTTGCAATCTACAGTTTTTGTAATTGTTGTTATAGATACCTGTGCATGTCACACTACACTGGCTTCAATGGAGCCACCACAAATCCTCACCTGTTAATCTAACATTTTCCATGTGTGATGGGGTGAGCATTGTTGCAAGGGAGTAGCATGCATGGCTATGGATTCACCTTGCTGTCGCTCTGTTCAGCGGCATAACCAAGCAAAGCAAAACGCTTACCCTGGCTCGTGTGATAAGGTTGAAAAGTGTCTGTTCAGTGTACACTGCAGTCCACATATGTATATGCCAGGGGGTTGGACTTGATGGCCCATATGGTCTCTTCTGACTCTATGATTCTATGTATGAAGTTCTAAAAGAGCCAGGTGTGTTCATGTGTGTCCACCCCAATAGAGCATTTTAATTCAGTTTTTTTTCTGGAGATGTGCTGAATGAGGAAGTTAAGCACATCTCAAGTGTGTGACATAATAAACTGAAATGTATCTCAGACAATGAAAAAATGATACGGTTCCACTGTCTTGGCTTTCACTTGTCACCTTCTCTTTTCTCCTTAATTAGTGCAGTTATGGTTTCCAATTGCAGAAAATTCATTTGTGCTTACCATTTTTCACATACAAGCTCTCTTACCATTATCCTCCAATTTTCCCTTAATTCAAGTTACTGGGCACCATGACACAGTCTAAGGAAAGTTCTGATGGAGGTATCAAAAAGCAGCAAACATAGACTTACCTTCATATGTTCCACTTTCTAAAAGGGCACCACTTTTCTCTAATTCCATAAAATCTTCGACAGTGATGAAAATATAATCCACACCAGGAACTTCCCCCTCCTTATGAGGCCTTGTAGTGCCTAAATTGAAAAAGAAAAAGCACATTAGGCATAATCATAAAAAGGTATTAAGGGATATTTGATATCTGACAGATGTTATTTGTTTATTTTAAAAACAAATGATTTTATTCATTGAGGTAGTTTGGATCAACAGCAGGTTTGATTTATTGCACGCTTTCATTAAAAACTACAGCTTGCTAACAGAAAGATTTGATTGTTTCTGTTTTCTGCTCAGTGAGATTTACAAAATGTTAAGTGTAAATACAAATGCTGTTTGAGGTGTAGTACAATGATTTAAATGTTGATACGGATCAGGATAAACATCTCTAAATCTGCTATAGATTGGTGATAGAGAACATGCCTTGCATACTGGAGGCACAGATTTAATCCTGGTATTTTCAGACACACACACACATTTTGCCATGATTCCACTGCAATATCCTAAGAACCCTAGTACTGGCAGTTTAGGGAATTTTCTATCAGAAAAGCTTTTTCTGCCATTTGTCTTACGAATCAGTATGTGAGTCGGAAATTATTCAGCTTTCCCCCGCTCCTTGTTCCCTGGCCTTGGTTCAAGCCAGAGAAGCATTCTAAAACAGTGTGGATGGATTTCCTTCCTTTCCTTTCCCTCCCGTGTCAGTCTTAAGCGAGAGAAGCAGTTTTAACCAGTGTGAATGGATCCGAGCCAGTTTAAAACAGTGTGGATTGATTCCCTTCCTTTCCTTTCCCTCCCACATTAGTTTAAACCAGTGTGAATGGATTCCCTTCCTTTCCTTTCCCTCCCACATCAGTTTAAACCAGTGTGGATGGATTCCCTTCCCTTCCTTTCCTTTCCCTCCCGTGTCAGTCTTAAGCGAGAGAAGCAGTTTTAACCAGTGTGAATGGATCCGAGCCAGTTTAAAACAGTGTGGATTGATTCCCTTCCTTTCCTTTCCCTCCCACATTAGTTTAAACCAGTGTGAATGGATTCCCTTCCTTTCCTTTCCCTTCCACATCAGTTTAAACCAGTGTGGATGGATTCCCTTCCTTTCCTTCCTGCGTCAGTCTTAAGCGAGAGAAGCAGTTTTAACCAGTGTGAATGGATCCGAGTCAGTTTAAACCAGTGTGGATTGATTCCCTGCCTTTCCTTTCCCTCCCGTGTCAGTCTTAAGCGACAGAAGCGGTTTTAACCAGTGTGAATGGATCCGAGTCAGTTTAAACCAGTGTGGATTGATTCCCTTCCTTTCCTTTCCCTCCCACATCAGTTTAAACCAGTGTGGATGGATTCCCTTCCTTTCCTTTCCCTCCCGCTTCAGTCTTAAGCAAGAGAAGCGGTTTTAACCAGAGTGGATGGATTTCTTCCCTTTGCTTCCCCCGCCCCTGCTTCTGGAGTAAAACAACTACTTTCAAAGTAAAGACCACCCAATGAAACAGGAAATAACACTTTGAAACCATTAATGAAGGATTCGGAAGTCTCTGAAGATTTTGCAGTTTTGAACATTTTTTCTGTGAAAATCGGAATTGACTTTAGATCCGAATCACCAGTGCCCCTACATCCGAAACAAGTTTTGAACCAATTTTTTTTATCAAACAAGCCTATTGTTTAGGGTTTAGAACCTGAGCTCTTTCAACAGTTCAGCTCTCTGAACATTAGTTTCAGCTCTCAGTCTAAAATATAGAGGTTTGAAAACTCACAAAACTCTAGCAATAGCGGTAGTAGTAATACTTCGATATCATTCCTCAACCTTTACTGTTATTCTATCTATCCTCCAAATGCCTACCATCCGAGACACCACATCACTTTGACTTACTGTAAGGCTAGCCTTGCACATCATCAACAAAATCATTAAGCTTGCCAAAAGTCAGAAATGACTTGAAAGCACACAACAGCAAGAAGAAAAAACTGGCCATGTGCACACCTCAGACTTTGCCCCATCCAATTACTGTGCACAGGACACAGATTTGTCTTCCTCTTGGCATTCTTTCACCACTACCAAAGCCTCTTGCCATAGTATACCATCATACGATGAAGTGGTGGGTTGTTTTGTTATATCACTATTTTATGCAACACTGAGACATAAGCCATTACCACAATGCAAATTTAGACTGTAGGAAAAGCAAGGGTAATAGAGGATATTGTTCTGGTATAGCTGTACCAGGAGCTCCAACTTTATTTGCTTGCATTAAATGTTTGATTGCAGTCCTAGGTTTCAGGGACTCTGCAGATAGGTGGCTTCTTTTGGTTGCAGTCATAGGGCAAGTCACCTGTCCATCATCGTTAAGTTTTGGTCCCGCCCCTTGCTCAGGGTAATTGGGAAGGGAAGGGAGCCATTTTCAGTTAGTCTCAGCAACAGTTAGCTTATGTATAGGATGTGTGTAACTTCCCCTGTACAAAAGCTTCAACCTTTAAGATTTTCCAGGGAAGCCTCCCCAAAGCTTTAAGAATTCCGGGGGAGAACAGTTTCAAGAGTCTCCTAAGAATTTCCAGGAAAACAGCCCTAAAGACCAAAGAACTCCAGTTGGAGAACATCTAAGCCCTTTCTGGTAGGTCCACTCGGTGTTTGAGACGCAGTTTGACCCGGTAGCGGAGCCCACATCAGTAAGGGTTAGATTACAGTCAGCCTGGGAGAAGTTAAAAAAGGGGATTTTCCTTTAAAGAAAAAGTTATTGAAGACAGTTGCCTGTCCTTCATGGGCAAGATTAGGAATTCACCAGTTGCCTAAAAGCTTGCAATCATTTGCCTAATTTTACTGAAGATTAGAGAAGTTTCTGTTTGATTGTTCATTATTATTATTATTATTATTATTATTATTATTATTATTAAACTTTATTTGTACCCCACTAGCATCTCCCGAAGGACTCGATGCAGCTTACAAAGGCCAAGGCCTCAACACAACAACAGCAAACAATAACAATCCAATACAAAGCAAAAATTAAAACATAAGCAATGACAAAACATTACACTATTACACATTAAAAACAGGCTGGGCCAATGATGGATACAGGTTAAAAAGTGCTGGATGTGACGGTGGTATATTGGAATTCTGGGCAAGTGCAATGTGCAGAGAGTCTTAACTCTAATAAAGTGCTTCTGGGACATGGTGCTGGGAGGTTATCCACTTCTGGGAAGGCACATCTGAATAGCCAGCTCTTCAAGTTCTTCCTAAAGACTGCCAACGTGGGTGCTAGTCTAACGTCTTTGGGGAGGGTGTTCCAGAGTCTTTGTTGTACTTCACAAGCCATCTAAAGACTATTTGTGGTGAAACCCTCTGAGAACTTCTCTTTGGGCCCCCTGGCTTCCCATTGGGCAAAGGTTGCACATCCTATTCTAAAGACAATTATTTACAGGCCTAGTGCGTCACAGAACAGATATACATTAGCATATACATTTCCATTTGTAGGATCGTAGTTGATAGACATCTGTTGATGATCACAAGTACTGTAATCACATTGTACAATCACCGATATCCCTCATATCATTTGCCTAATTTTACTGAAGATTAGCGAAGTTTCTGTTTGATTGTTAATTAATAAAGGACTTTGTTGTACTTCACAAGCCATCTAAAGACTATTTGTGGTGAAACCCTCTGAGAACTTCTCTTTGGGCCCCCTGGCTCCCCGCTGGGCAAAGGTTGCACATCCTATTCTAAAGACAATTATTTACAGGCCCAGCGCGCGACAGAACAGATATACATTAGCATATACATTTCCATTTGTAGGATCGTATTTGATAGACATCTGTTGATGATCACAAGTACTGTAATCACATTGTACAATCACCGATATCCCTCATATCATTTGCCTAATTTTACTGAAGATTAGCGAAGTTTCTGTTTGATTGTTCATTAATAAAGAACTTTGTTGTACTTCACAAGCCATCTAAAGACTATTTGTGGTGAAACCCTCTGAGAACTTCTCTTTTGGGCCCCCTGGCTCCCCGCTGGGCAAAGGTTGCACATCCTATTCTAAAGACAATTATTTACAGGCCCAGCGCGCGACAGAACAGATATACATTAGCATATACATTTCCATTTGTAGGATCGTATTTGATAGACATCTGTTGATGATCACAAGTACTGTAATCACACTGTACAATCACCGATATCCCTCATATCATTTGCCTAATTTTACTGAAGATTAGCGAAGTTTCTGTTTGATTGTTCATTAATAAAGGATTTTGTTGTACTTCACAAGCCATCTAAAGACTATTTGTGGTGAAACCCTCTGAGAACTTCTCTTTGGGCCCCCTGGCTCCCCGCTGGGCAAAGGTTGCACATCCTATTCTAAAGACAATTATTTACAGGCCCAGCGCGCGACAGAACAGATATACATTAGCATATACATTTCCATTTGTAGGATCGTATTTGATAGACATCTGTTGATGATCACAAGTACTGTAATCACATTGTACAACCACCAATATCCCTCATCCTGAAATTCTGCCACAACTTTTTAGGCCTTGACAGAAAAAGAGCGGGGCCGGTTTCAGAAACAGGGATCAATTAAACCATTAGGTCTTGCCAATAAAACCCACTTCTTCATAGAACTGCTATGCTGTACAGGAAAGGGCTTGGCAAATCTAAAGTAGATTCATGCCAAATTCCCCTTGGACTGATATCCTCCAATATCCTTTCCAAGAGGGATTTGCAGAAAACTGTGAGAGATCCTCCTAGTCCTTCTCTTTCCTGGTTTCTGAGGATGCCACCGTGGCTCATTTCCCAGAGGCATTTTCAAACAGGATAATATGATGCATGAACAAAATGCTCAGTCTGTTGCAGAGCTTGAGAAGACTTTTTTTTTTAAGAACACAGTTTCAAAACTCCTGACCCAGCAAGAGCCCTAGGGAATTCTGGTAGCTGCAGTCCAAAAAAGCCATTTCTCCAAGCTTGGTGTATTTCCATTGCCCTATTTTTCCAAGGCTTGGCTCATTTGCAGTTGTTAGCACGGATGTACTAATCTAAAAACCCCTTGGCATGCTCTGCCAACTCATGCTCCACTCATGTTAGAGAACCCTGTGCCAGTAGATTTATTTCAGGATTAAG